CAGGATGAGTAGCAGGTCAGGTTCTGCTTTAATTCCCAGTCCTAGTTTGGCCCCAATTTTCAAGGCCTTGCTTAGAGTGGTGATTCTTAAATTTGAGCAGACATCAGACTCCCCCAGAGGGCTTGTTAAAACATAGATTGCTGGGCTTACCTCCTTGAGTTTTGGGTCCAGCAGGTCTGGGACGGGGCCTGAGAATCTACATTCTAAGCTCCACAGGATGCTAGTCCCGCCAGTCAGAGGCCCTGATTTGAGAACCACTGGCTTTACCTCCTTTGAAAGACCTCAGCTCTCAGGCAACAGAAGGAAGATTTCAAAGTTGTCTTCCTCTTCACATTGGCTGAGGGCAGAATCAACAATGAATGGCTCAAAGTGGTCCTGGGCAGGAGGTTGAGGGCTTTTGTCCTGTCTTGTTTTTTTGCAGTGCTGGGCACTGAACCAGGGTCTCATGGATACAAAGCAAACATTTACCTCTGAGCTACAACCCCAGCCCCATGGGCAGGAGGAACCAGTATTATTGATACTCTAAGGTCAGTGGGCAGGGAGCCCAGAGATTTAGCGTGTTAGATTCTCTGATTGACCTCACCGTGTGACCTTGAACAGTTACCTGTATTCTCTGGGCCTCAATTTGTCTCCCTGTAGAATAAGCAGCTGTTACTTTTCTGTGTGCATTGTATTCCTATCACAAACACACTTTGGAAAATGAAAAGGAATACAAAATGAATTAGAGGGCCCTAAAGTGGGTTCCACAGGGACATCTTGTAGGGGTCAGTGTACCTGGAAGCTTGGGACTTAGGACTAACTGGGTGTGGCTGTTGACTAGTTGCCCGATCTGGCAAGGGGGCTGAAGGGATCAAGGTAAACTTGTAGTGTCTAGCTGACAAGTGTTAGCTATAATACTTGTTCCTATTTTTAATGTCTTTTCAAGATTAGGGGGCCAAGGCGCTGGAGAGATGGCTCAGTGGTTAAGAGCACTGGCTGCTCTTGCAAAGGACATGGTTTCAATTCCCAGCACCCACAAGGCGACCAACAATTGTCCCTAACTCCAGTTCCAGGGGATCCGATGCCCTCTTCTGGCCTCCGTGGGCATTGCATGCACATGTTGTACATGCAGGCAAAAAACACTCGTGCACAGAAAATAAAGATAAATAAAATTTTTTTAAAAAGAGAAAAGATTAGCGGACCAGGACACTTCCTCTTCCCCACCCACAATCCCCACTGTAGATCCTGGAGAACTTCATGGTGATGGTGGATTCAGACCTTCCATGCATAGCTCAAGTTTTCCCTTGACATGATTGCTCTGGGAAACACCTAACTTCCCAAATGTTCCAGGAATAATTCCTTCTCTGACTCCTATTCGCTTGATTATTAATTTAGTGTTTGCTGAATACCTACTATGTGAAAAATACAGGGTCAGGCACATAGTAGGACATGACACAACAAAATCTAATTTTTTTTTTAAAATCACAGGGTGGGCAGAAGCAGATGCTAATTTGAAAGTCACACAGGATAACATTGGAACCTTGTAGGATTGAAAAGTAGAGACTTCAGAGCAGAGGGAACAGCCTGTGCAAAGGACCTGAGGCAGGATGAATATGACACCTGCCAAGATCTAGGCAGGTGGGCTGTGGAGCCAGGAGGGTAGGCAGCAGGGGGTCTGACTTTTATCCTAAGACTGTCAGAGCCTCTGGGGGATCTGACAGCAGAGGGGGCCACATGGCATGAAGGAGTGTCTCAAATATCTCCTCTGGATGAAGCTGGAGAAGATTCTAGGGGCCAGAGAGGACCAGGAGATCTGTTAGGAGCAAATTATGGCAGCATCCAGGAAAGGGATGCTGTGGTCTGGACGGCATGTGGGTGAGTTGAGGCTGTTTCGGAGACAGAAAGAAATAGCTGTATTTAGAAGATCTTTGGGGCTGGCTCCGTAGACTTGGAGGTAACTGTTGTGAATGGTGACCAGGGTGGCCTGAGCTGCCTAGTTTCCTGACTGTAGGTGGATGGTGGTGGTTTTCACTGAGCTACCATGGAATTCCCCTCCTTTCTCAAGCATTTCAGAGCCTTCAGGCCACTGGTCACAACAAGAATTATGAGAACCGTCTTCCTGTGTTTTTGGGGTCTTACCTCTTCCAGGTGGTGATCAGACATGTAAAGTGCTTAGTACAGCAGCTGGGACTCAACAGATGACAGCTACCTGCTGGGCACACCTGTGACCACCTTGTGCCTCTAGGTTGGCTCTTGCTGAAGCTGTCTCAACTGACACCCTTGGGGTATCTTCACCGTGGATGACATGAAGGAGGGGGTAAGTGGGGCTTTGACAGGTGAAAAGTAGGGGTCTCAGTCTGGCCCCACATTGATCCAGTCAGGTGACCTCAATTTTCTAACTGTGGAGGGTAGAGGGGGTATCAGACTGGAAACTGAATCAAACCCCTGTAGCCCCAAACCTCTGAGATTTTGTGAATGTTCAAGGAGCATGGGTTGGAGGCTGGGCCTGCCTTCCTCCACAGCTCACTCAGAGAATCTTCCTCAGGCTTGATCCCTCTGCCTTCCTTCTTTCTGGGTTACTGGATCACTCTTCTAGCTAGTGTGACCTTTCCATCCCTTGTGTGGGCTACTCACTTCAGGCAGGTTGGTCCACCTTGTGTCTGTGCTTGGGCCATCCTTCCATTCAGGACACTTCCTTCTCTCCATCTAGAATCCCTATCTTCCTTGAAGTCATCCTCTAGCCCTTTATGCTGGATAGCGTCAGTTGTTAACTTGACACACCTGGGAATTAATTAGTTAAGGAATTTCCTCCATCAGCGTAATCTGTGGCCATATCTGTGAGGCATTTTCATGATTGTTGAGTGATGTGGGAGGGCCCAGATCTCTGTGACTGGTGCTATGCCTGGGCAGATGGTCCTGGGTTGTATAAGAAAGCAGGTGTGGTGGTATCATCTGTAAATATCTGCACTTGGGAGGCAGAGGTGGGCACATCTCTGTGAGACTGAGCCAGCCTGGTCTACACAGCAGGCTGAACACAGGCCCAGAGAACAAGCCAGTAAGCAGTGTTTCTCCATAGCCTGTGCTTCAGATCCTGCCTCCAGGTACCTGCCCTAACTTCACTGTATGAAGGACTGTATTATTACCTGAAATAAATCCTTTCCTACCAAGTTGTTCTTGGTTAGTGTTTTATCACAGCAACAGAAAAGTAACCAATACACCCCTCCTTCCAGAAATTCCCTTGTCCTTACTGGCAACCCTGTCCATGTGTCATAGATAATTCTCCTTTTCTCACCTGGGCTCTGATTATGATCGAGTCCTCTGATTGGACCCTGGCACCACACAGCACAACTTCTAGCATCCTCCTCTTTGGAACTTTGTCCTGAGCTATGGATAAGCAGGGAAAGGCAACTAGCCAGAGCACATCCCGTGCCCCACATCAAGCCACTCTCCTCTGCTCAAATCCTGAGCCAGCCTGGGAAACCCAGAACTTGCCTTCCTGGAAGAGTCTCCAGCTGACACCAGTGAGTTTCTTCACTTTCTGCCCCCTCAGCCCCTCTCCCTAACAGAGCCTTCCTCAGTGGAAAGGCCCCTGGACACACAATTCTTGGCCAACAAAAGCAACCATTGTAGCCCCAGGGAAGGGGGTGGGGGCAGAGAAACAGGGTGAGGCTTTGCTTTGGCCAGGGCTGGCTCCAGGGAGCTTATGACTCAGGCGCTGGGGTCCCAGCTGCAGTCAATCCCTCTTGACTTGCTCTGGGGCAGCAGGAAGGAGGTGGAGTGGGGCCAGGTCCCCTGGCCTTTCTAAAGGAATCTTCTCTGGGATGGCTTCTCAGCCAGGAGGAAGTAAGGCATCTTATGTCATATCTGCCCCTACTTTAGAGCTTGGAAAACTGAGACCCTGGGAAGGCAGATGATTTTAGGACCATTTAGTAGGTTTGCAGAGACCTGAGGCAGTGCCTGGCCAGCCTCCATCCTGGTCTATCTCCCCAGCCTCTCCAACTTCCCACTTTCTGCCCACATCAGCCACACACACACACAGCACCCTGACTGGTCTTGACCTTACCAGTCTTAAGGACCAGAAAGAGGAAAAAGAGCCACTTACTATAGTTCCATTGGTGGTTCCATTTTCCAATAACTGAGTTACTTGAATATAATTAATCCATGTCAGCTCTGAGTCTGCTTCAAAAATGAGCTGTGCCTCCCAAACCTCAGCATCGTTTCAAAGATTCTTCATACCACAGTTAAAACAGAACAACAAAAATAAATCAAACCATATCCTCCTTTTCCACCTGTGGGTGACTTGAAATACAGTTTATTTTCAAATTATTAAGAACATATTTGGAAAGTAAAAAGCGAGCATCGATTTCTCTCTTGGGCTGTTGGCGCTGACTGGGTTTGGTCTCAAGGTGCCAGACCAGCGACGGCACTGCCTGTAGACTCTTCCGTGCACTGCGGGCTGCAGCAAGCCGAGGGTAGATGTGCAGGGTGCTTATCGTTTATTGTGTGTCTATTGTGCGCTGTAGTTAACAGCTATGTCACATACGAGGAAACTGAGGGTTTCTAAGTTTCAATCAGGGCAGTCTGCTTGTAAAGCCAGGGCCCTCTCCTCAGCCTGCTGCGCCCCGGTTCTAGGCTGGGACACAGGACAATGGGATTTCCTTAGGATCCCTGGCGCTGTAGTCTGCAAAGTGGGGAGATGGAAAAGATGAGTGGCTGGCGGGCCATTTGGGGGTCTCTCCAACCCGGCCCTCCAAATGCAGTCGGACACCCCTGCGGTGGCTCTGGAGCAGTTACAGAGCCAGAAAAGGAGGCGGAGCTGATGCATGCGGAGCAGATTTGGGACGTCGCTCTGGGAAGCTCCGGCGTCTGAAGGGACGATTGCCTAGTGCGCCAGGAGCCCCTGCGCGGGCTCCGCGTGGCACTTCCGATCCCGGCCGCACGTCGCGGCCTCGCAGGCCCGCCCCCGCCCCCGGCGCCGGCGCCCCCCG